CTTAGAACTGTCCCAAATATATTCGAAGTCTGATATTTGTGCATGTGACTTCTCAACAATAAGAAAATTAAATTGAAAACAGAAGGACTCTTTCCAACTATTCTGTTTATTAATTATACAAAAATCCCCCCAAACAAAATCCCGCACTTCACTTTTCTTATCCTTTCCCCCAAAAAGTCTAGAAAGGAAAGAATTTCCAAGGAAGTTCCCTGAGAGTCATTCTGAATGGAGCTTTCTATTTTTGTGCACCATACCTTAGAGTGTCTTTGCAACCTCAGGGAAGGTCTTCTCCACTTGGGGCTGCTTGCATGCACAACTGATGCCCACAGGGAAATCTCTTAAAAATAAAGGACTATCTTAATGCACGTGTTAATAATAGGTGTCCTCATTTTAACTTCTGCTGGGGAAGCCTACTGAACAGAGGCAGCTTTTCAGCATGCATTTATGATGAATTGGACTCCAAAGCAGCCAGTCTACCACACATCTGTTAACTTTTTCCTGTCCATAAGATTGTTATGCCAGGACCTCAGAAAGGACATACCTGTGATGGCCTTACTGGAAAATTAATTGGCATATATATTAATAAAAAATAAATAAAGGGGGGAGCGAAAACCTTCACGTTTAAAGCCAGGCCTTTTCCTGTTGTCTGATTTGGTGCCATCTCCCCGAACTTACAAGCCATTCTTCCCAACTCAACTCCCTGGCACACGAAGTTGCTTCCTCTCTCCTTCCCACCCCTGCATAAACTACTCTTCAGACTGGCTTTCCTTTTGACCCTTTTTTTTTTTCCTTTTCCCTCCTGTTTATTATGCAGTACGACGATTTACCCCATTACGGTGGGATGGATGGAGTGGGGATTCCGAGCACCATGTATGGGGACCCCCACGCCGCCAGATCTATGCAGCCTGTCCACCACCTCAACCATGGTCCTCCGCTTCACTCCCATCAATACCCGCACACAGCTCATACAAACGCCATGCCCTCCAGCATGGGTTCCTCTGTCAATGACGCTTTAAAGAGAGATAAAGATGCAATTTATGGGTAGGTACAGCTAGCATCAGTTTTATTCTCTTGAAAATGTGTTGCTTCCTCCCTGGTTCTTTTTTTTTTTTTCTTCCCGCCCTTACCTATCCAGTGATCAGGGCCATGGAGCCCACTGCAGAGACTAGTCTCAAACTAGAAAAACTGTGTAGGATGGGGGTGAATGTGCCACGGTTGGATTCCTTTGCTGTGGTGCTCTGCTCTTACTAATCTCTGTTGGACCTCAAACAAAAAAATCCCCCCAAATCAAAGAAATGGTTTTGGAAAGAAAATGCATGCATCCCTTTGCAAAATGTAGACTGCCTCCCCTCCCCCTAAGATCTGGGAAGTATTGTGCAGAAAGAAAGACCCTTCTCCACATTTTTTTTTTTAGCAACTTCAATATGTTGAAGGCAGGATTGAAACTGTCCTTTGGTTGTTTTGGCTACAACTTTTTGCAATAAGTTACAAAGTCTTGTGAAAAGTAGAGAGAGAGAAAGAAAAAGAAAAAAAAGAGAGAGAGAGACTTTATGGTAGAAAATAAATAAAATAAATAAAAATAGAAATTTATCGGGAAGTAGGTATTTTACGAAGTATTAAGAAATATGCATTCATGTATTCATTACATTTATGCAGAAATATGGTGCATTTTCTTTTCCTCTTCCTATACTAAGACTTTTTAAAGAACAACTTGACAGCTTCCTTTACATTCAAATTTAAAAGGGGATTTTCAGGACTAATTGCAGAATTGCTCCTATACCCCACCCCACCCCCAACTGAGTTTAGATAAGGTTTTGAGCTTCTCTGAAGTGGGTTTTTTTTTTTAAATTAAGTGTGCAGTTTAATTTATTTCTCCAGTATAACTTCGGGTGACTGCTATTTGCGGGAATCTGAACAAATTCTGCATATTTTACTACCATACCTTATCCCTTTGCTTTTCAATTACTTTCAGTTCTGCAGCCCTAAAGAGGTTAGGAAAGGAAGGTGAATGGGAAACTTGCAGATGAAAGAGGCATGATGTTTTGACTTAGGGAATAATAACCTATTACAAATAAAGTTTAAAATATGAAAAGTTACTAGTTCCGCAGGGCACCTTCGCATGCTCCATCCAATAATAAAGTCCGCATTAGCTTACTGAGTTTGTGAAGGAAAGGCACAATCTCCTGATCCAACTGAGAGGAAGAGCTGGTGATCCACATATAAACAGTTCAAATTCCTTTCAGGGAACCTTTATTTCTCTGTCTCCCCCTCCCCCCACCCCATGGGGAAACTTTGACAATTTAGCTTACCCAAGTACCTTTCTTTAACCCGCTACCCCTTGAAAACAATTACAATAAATCCCAAGGCTAATTTCTCATTCCCCATCCCAACAACTAAAGTGTATGTGGGGAAGGGGGGGGCGGGAAGTGTATTCAAAATGGCTGCTAAATCCATTTGGTTAATAGTCTTAGCTAACGCCGCTCAGGTCCTCTGACCAGCTTTCAGATGGGCAACCCAGACTGGGTACCAGGGCTCGGATCCAGGTTTCTGGTTCTGCAGGGGAGGAGACCGGGCTGTGCCGGGCTAGGCGCGCTGGAGTGCGCGGGGCTGGAGAGTTCACTTGCGGGGATGGCTGGGTGGCTGGGTGGGTTTCTCCCCGACGGAGCCCAGGCTTTGCCCGAAGCCCGGCCTCCTGGAGCCCGCGCGGCTCACGGGGGGGGGGGGGGGGGGTGTCTCTGCTTTGGTGACTCTTACCCTTTTTTTCCCCCCCATTTCAGACATCCCCTCTTCCCACTCTTAGCACTGATTTTTGAGAAATGTGAACTAGCGACGTGCACGCCCCGGGAGCCCGGGGTAGCGGGAGGAGACGTTTGCTCTTCTGAATCTTTCAACGAAGATATAGCCGTGTTCGCGAAACAGGTCAGCAACTCGATCCTAAGGCCCCCCCGATCCATGGTGCGCTTGCCCCCCGGGCCTGGCGACCCTTCCAGGGGAAGGGTGAGGACGGTTCGCCCGCCGCCTCCCAGCCCTTGTCGCCTTGCCTTCATTCCTCGCAGCCCCTCGATTCCCTCTAGCTCCGGGTCTCCCCCCCTCCTCTCCGGAAGCGAGGGCAGCCCTCCGGCCCACATATTGACTCGAAGGGTCGTCTTAGGGCTTCGATTGCCCCCTCCGCTCTCCTGGTCACTTTCCCAGGAAGACTGCCAGCTTCTGGGTGCATGGGGACGGAAGCACAGCAGACAGCTGTCGGGCAGGCTTGGCAACCGCGCTGGGCACCTTTGCTTGAGTCTTTCGGCTAAGCCTAGCAGTTTTGGGGGTGGGTTTTGTGGGGATGGTTGTATGGGGAGGGGGCGCGATGTAATGTAGCAAGGGTAAAGACGCAATGCCATCGAGTTACCTCGGTCTCTCAAACTGCTTTTTCTTTCTTTTTTTTTAATCCCTTCGCCCCGGACTTTTCTACCCTGTGTCTAGATACGAGCAGAAAAACCCTTATTTTCTTCTAACCCCGAACTGGATAACTTGGTAAGAGTTCAGATACACTTCCCCGACATACGTGTTTTCCCCTGTTTTCTTAAGAGGCAAGTCCCCCCCCCTTACCCCCCCCCCCAGAATGGGGGTGGTGGGTACTATAGAGGGGGGAACCCGAACTGGGAAGTTTTTGAGGTCCAAGCAACCACATTTTAGGAACACAATCCAAAAGCGAAGTTGGGTGGAGTACCGGAGACATTTGCCTCATTTTACCTTAACTGCAATTATGCAAATCTTGAGGTATCTTTGCATTAGAGACCCACAGGGTACTCTTGGAATAATGGCAGTTTGAGGTAAAGATCTTGAGTCAAATTGACTTTGAAAAAATTAAATTAGTCCTTTGCAATGGAAACTTATTCTCTTCAGCCTTCTTCCCAAATTTGCTTGGCTCTACTGGAGCAGCAATATTACTATCTACATTACCGTTTGCTAAAGAAATATTTATGATCCGTGTAATTTGGCCAATTCATTGCAACAACGGACAAAAGTAAAAATCAGACCTTTCTTTTTGTTAAACAGTCTGCAGAAAGACGGCTTTTAAGTTTTAGTGTTGCTGTAATAAATCAAAATATTCACACACATCAAGGCATATGTCTGCATGTACAAGAATTGGATAGTAAACAGGAAGAGAATATTGGAGAAACCCTAAAATCAGGGACAGAGACTTACATTGTTTTGTATTTTTACAGATGATCCAAGCCATACAAGTATTAAGGTTTCATCTGTTGGAATTAGAGAAGGTAACTCTCTCTCTTTTTCTTTTCCTCACCCCTACCTAATATTTCATAAAGTTGAAGCTACAGCATAATTTCTATAAATGTCTTTCCTTCTGGTAATTAGTGTCAAAACCAATCATGGCATCCATTTCTCATTGCAGTTTAATTACAATTCCAGCCACTAAAAATCTGGATCACTAACGCCCTGGCCTTGTATCTCTTTTTACTACCTTTGCACAAATGCATTGGATGATATTTAGATGGATGCTTGTCTTTCGGCTTGTGCTTCTTCCCATAGGGTAGCTATTTCTATCCAGGTACTTTAGTTTTCAGTTAGTTTTTCAGCCCCCCCCCCCCCGTTTTTCCCCCCTTTTCTTTTAAAGAGCCATCTGCAGGGTCACACACAGGGCACAGTTTGTCCTGCAACATTTTGCAGAAACAAGCCAGAGTTGCTTGTTTCTTTTGTGGGGGCTACTCCTTTTTCCCAAGAAGGCAGTCATCAGATCAATCTGAATGTACTACTACTAATAATAATGTTATGGAGCCCAAGCACATTTCAAAGTAGGAATGGAGTAGAAAGATTTCAGGGCCTCCTAGAATATTGTTTCTACTC